AATATTAATAATAATAATAATGAGACGATGACTAGAATGATGATAATGATAAAAAAGAGAAATAATGACCGGGAAAAAAAGAAGATAGGAAAAAAATTTTGGAATATAACGCGGGACTTTCGGTACGCACCATTTTTTTTTTTGTTATGCGAGCGATAAATAGATTCTTTCAATCGGTCTAATATATATATATCTCTTTCTAATACCTCAGGGGCATCGCATACAAATGATAAGGATTTTGTTAACCTTCTATAACAGAGTTATCTCTTTTTGTCTCTACACACAAAAATCATATAATACCAAAGTTCGGCTTTTACTTAAACTGATAGACAGTCGGGGCCAAAAGTTTTGAGATGATTTTCATAATCCATTACTGTTTTTCGAGATTTTTAAATCTTTCAATTTTGTTTTCATATTGTAAAAGAAGAGTTGAAGCCTAGCTTGTAAAATTACAAGCCTAATTATAAGCCTAAAGAGTCTCGAAATAGAGTAATTCATTTTTTAAATTACCTAGAAAAATGTCTGGCCCAATTTGAAGAACTTTTAGCCCACCTTTTATAATTTTATTATATTATAACATTATAAATTCACAGCTTATACTTAAAGTATACGAAATATATACATATATGTATATACATATGTGGCTTCACAGTTTGCATGCCGTTATAGAAGGGTTTAATATATTATTATAAAAGAATAATAATTTCAATTTGTTTTTTCTCATTTCGTGGCACGTGAAAACGTACACATTAAAAGAAGATCTCGCTTTTGAAACTTGGCTTGTCCAATGATATATGTATACAAAGTGATTTTAAACTTTCTACGTGATATTAAAAGTCTATTACTTCAGCTCGAAACTTTTTTTACACTCGCATTGGGCTTGGTAGTCTTACAATCTTAAATAAAAACAACAAGGAAGTTAAAACTCAGTTTAAAAAGTCTCGTAAAAGAGTGTAATTGATTTTTAAAATCACTTTTGTGCCACATAGAAAGTTTAAGCTCACCGTGTGTATATACATATGTCAGTACCTGTCCGAAGATTTTGTCAATTAGCTTTGAATATACACAAATGGAATAACAAGATTTAAAACTTAAAAGAAAGAAACAAACAAACAAAGTAATTATGACAATTAAAATGATTAGAAGGGCATCGAGGCACGAGTTTTATCTCGAAAGTATATTTTCGAATGATTTGAATTGGTCGTCAAATTCGTATATATACACACGCGTCTTACAATATATATATATATATACATATATATATGTATGATAATCGACCCATTCGAATGTTTATGCTTTTATTTTTTAAGAAAAGAGAAACTCGCAACCTCGAGTTCCTAACGATAGCAATAAAAAGACAAAAATCCAAAAATACGAGCAGAAAATTTCAAGTTTTCTTGTTAAGATTGTCAATTCGATCAATTAAAATTATTCGACGACGAATGAGCGAAATATTATCGTAATTTGAGAAACACTGTGGTACGGTGACGGAGAACGATTTTGAGAATAAATAGTTCAAAAAGAAAAAAAAAAAACAACAATTTTAACAAACAAAAAAAGACAAGAAAAAGAAAGAAGTAATTAAATGTATGATATTAATTGTGTTTCGTTCTCGTTCAAATAAGAACTATTTAAATAACAAAATAAAAAAAGATACGAAGAAGAAGAAGAAGAAGAAGAAGAAGAGATAATATCAACAACAAAAATAAAAAGATCGTTTGACTATTCATGGGAGAAAAAGGAAAAGAAAGAAAGAAAGAAAGAAAGAAAGAAGACACCTGAAATTAATGATATAAAAATTAAAAAAGAAACAAAAAAAAACAATCGGTATCTCTTATTCTATAAATGTTGGCTATTGTTAAATGTTGAAAATATTGTTCTGCGGAGAACTTGCGTTTTTAGTTGAGTGGAAAGATGATTAATAAAGTAAATTGACTTTTTCGTTAAATCGAAATATATATAAATATAATAAATAAATACATAGTTACATATACAGAGATATTTCGATTTGCGTTAGTTTCGACTAGAGCTAAAGTTAGATCGACGTTGAATTTTAATTAGAATTTGAATTGTGTCACATTTTATACCAAATTATTGTGATCCCAAACAATACCTCATATTATTTATTTCAAGACAGAAGACGAATTTTGAAATGTTAGAAATTTAAATATATATCCACGTTTAAAAAACGAGGCTCTCCGCATTCTGATCGTAATCTTAACTATCAATAGAAATCGATATAGACGAGTCAGATCTATCGATTTCTACAATTAATATCACTGAGCATCCTTGGTCAAGAAAAAATATCTATTAATCAAAATCTCCCAATTTTTTTTTTTTCCTTTTTTTCCCTCGCTCTCCTCCCCTATTATCTTCTCTATCATCCCTTTAAATCTTTTCGTTTTACTTTTAAACAGCTTTCCAAAAGCTTATCCTTTCGCTTTTAATTTTTCCATTTCTTTATTATTCTTCTCTCCTTTTTCTTTTTTTTTCTTTTGTTTTTTTTTTACAGAATTTTCTAAACATGTACGTTACCACGTGAGACTCGAGAGAGAGAGAGAGAGAGAGAGAGAGGGAGAGAGAGAGGGAGATTTCATGTTTCTCGAAAATATCGGGGTCCACTTATATTTTCTAAGCGTCAGAAAAACCGGAATTTACGAGAAACACGAAAAAAGCGAGGATTAACGTTACAGTGAATTGTATTTTATCTTCTCCCTCCTTTCCTCTTTTTATTCCACTTATATATATATATTTATTCTTTGTTTCTCTTCTATCTATATATATTCCTCTCTCTCTCTTTTTTTCCTTTATATTTATGAGCCCTTTCGTTAGCCGTCATAACCATGTTGAAGAAATACAAAATAATAAATATATATATATATATATATATAAACAAAAGAGAGACGGCCAGTGGATGCGACGCAGTGATACTTTCAGACAATACATTACAATTAATTACACTTATATTGGTAAATTAATCTATTACGATTATATAAAATAAAGTCAAATACAAAAGAATATACGATACATAATATATATACACATATACATATACGTTAACGTATACATATGTATATGTGTATGTATATATATATATATGTATATATAAATATATTCGATTTCGGTCAATGCTAAATGATTATTATCATTAACTAAGAAATAAAGTGTGCTCTATGTCATGGCGTTAATTATTTTTCTCTAATACTAATTATCTCGTTCCCTTTATATTTAATCCTTTTCCTTATTTCTTTTTTTTTTTTCTTTTTCTATTTTTTTGTTGTTGTTCTAAATATATTTCATGCGTTAAATGTTAAAAGATCTAAGAGATCATTTGCAGAGTTAACCATGCCCAAGAAGACATGATTTACTATCGTGCAGACCGCACATACATAATGCATGTTCTCTCTTGTTCCTATAGACACATAATTGTATGCGATATTACCCTAGGGAAGGGCCATTCCTCTTGTGGCACCTCGGTAACAAGCCATACCATCGGCATATCAACCTTGCCATTTTCCCACATGACATTACAACTTGAATATCGTAAACTTGTGCGAGCAGCACTAACATTCTCTCTCTCATTCTCTCTTTCTCTTTCTCTCTCTCTCTCTCTG